ATCCTACATGCAGTCAAAGTGTATCATCTGACAAGCATAGAGAGAGGTTTTTATATGAAAATGGCTGGAGGAATTTCTCCCTTGGAAAAGCATTTTTAAACTAATAGATACTCCATGCTTATTTCATATGCGCCAGCCAGCTTTTTCCATGGATTCACAGCCTCTAAGAAAAAGTATTGTATACACAAATGTTAAACACATTATTAGGCTTTCTCTCAGGTTCTGTTCTTGTACTTACAATATGTAGTTCAAATATGAAAGAAATAGCTATCCTCTATCGTCACATATATTCATTTTGAAGTGTTATCCTGCTATTGATTGAAAAAGAGATGTATGCAGGTTTACAAAAATCATTACAAGTTTGTACCACTTTGGAATATCAAAAAAATTATAAATACTCCTGCTTACAGTGAAATCATTCGACAAAGTTTGAATGTCATGCATGTGAATGTCTATAAATGGATCAATTAATTTGCCTTTACTTAAGACAAATATCTTATTTACATAACCTTGAGTTTTTCACAACAGATGGTACAATTAAATGGAAAGCAGAGACGCTATGGGAATGCGGTGCCTTTGAATCTAGATAGACTGAAACAAGTGGCAGAGATGGAGTGTTGGGATGAGAGGCAAAGATTACAGAGCTGTTTTGATTGAAGGTTCTTTTCTCTGCTGGGATGGCATCACATGCCATAGGCCATTCGGAACTATTTAAATGCATAGAAAAGCATGAAGAACTGTTGCCACTATACAATTTTGTGAACCTCACATGGTGCAGAAATCCCAGAAGCATTAGCAAAATCTGGTCCTGAATATGAAGAGCGTGTTAGCCAATGTGCTCTTTAGAAAATTGCATTTCCCCTTTCATGTTAACTCTTATTGTGATTCTCTTTAGGGTTGCTTGTTTTGAAGATGCTCATCTCATTCTAAAGCACCTTGACATAGTTAAATGACCATTTCTCAATCCTGTCTCTTGTATTCATTCACACTTTTCTTTCCCGTTCCCTGT